CCCTCCCCTCCACTCCCCTCTGCCCTCAGTAGTGTCCTGTTATACTGTCCCTCCCCTCCACTCCCTCTGCCCTCAGTAGTGTCCCTGTATACTGTCCCTCCCTCCACTTCCCTCTGTCCTCAGTAGTGTCCTGTTATACTGTCCCTCCCTCCACTCCCTCTGCCCTCAGTAGTGTCCTGTTATACTGTCCCTCCCTCCACTCCCTCTGCCCTCAGTAGTGTCCTGTTATACTGTCCCTCCCTCCACTCCCTCTGCCCATCATAGTGTCCTGTAGACTGTCCCTCCCTCCACATCCCTCTGTCCTCAGTAGTGTCCTGTTATACTGTCCCCTCCCTCCCTCCCCCTCCCTCTGGCCCTCAGTAGTGTCCTGTTATACTGTCCCTCCCTCCACTCCCTCTGTCCTCAGTAGTGGTCCTGTTATACTGTCCCTCCCTCCACTCCCTCTGTCCTCAGTATGTGTCCTGTTATACTCTCCCTCCCTCCACTCCCTCTGCCCTCAGTAGTGTCCTGTTATACTGTCCCTCCCTCCACTCCCTCTGCCCTCAGTAGTGTCCTGTTATACTGTCCCTCCCTCCACTCCCTCTGCCCTCAGTAGTGTCCTGTTATACTGTCCCTCCCTCCCTCCACTCCCTCTGTCCTCAGTAGTGTCCTGTTATACTGTCCCTCCCTCCACTCCCTCTGCCCTCAGTAGTGTCCTGTTATACTGTCCCTCCCTCCACTCCCTCTGTCCTCAGTAGTGTCCTGTTATACTGTCCCTCCCTCCACTCCCTCTGCCCTCAGTAGTGTCCTGTTATACTGTCCCTCCCTCCACTCCCTCTGTCCTCAGTAGTGTCCTGTTATACTGTCCCTCCCTCCACTCCCTCTGCCCTCAGTAGTGTCCTGTTATACTGTCCCTCCCTCCCTCCACTCCCTCTGCCCTCAGTAGTGTCCTGTTATACTGTCCCTCCCTCCCTCCACTCCCTCTGCCCTCAGTAGTGTCCTGTTATACTGTCCCTCCCTCCACTCCCTCTGCCCTCAGTAGTGTCCTGTTTATACTGTCCCTCCCTCCCTCCACTCCCTCTGTCCTCAGTAGTGTCCTGTTTATACTGTCCCCTCCCTCCACTCCCTCTGCCCTCAGTAATGTCCTGTTATACTGTCCCTCCCTCCACTCCCTCTGGCCCTCAGTAGTGTCCTGTTATAACTGTCCCTCCCTCCCCCACTCCCTCTGGCCCTCAGTAGTGTCCTGTTATACTGTCCCTCCCTCCACTCCCTCTGTCCCTCAGTAGTGTCCTGTTTACTGTCCTTCCCTCCACTCCCTCCCTCAGTAAGTGTCCTGTTTAGACTGTCCCGTCCCCCAGCTCCCTCTGTTCCTCAGTAGTGTCCTGTTATCTAACTGTCCCTCCCTCCACTTCCCTCTGTCCCTCAGTAGTGTCCGGTTATACTGTCCCTCCCTCCCCCCCCTCTGCCCTCAGTAGTGTCCTGTTATACTGTCCCTCCCTCCACTCCCTCTGCCCTCAGTATGTCCTGTTTACTGTCCCTCCCTCCACTCCCTCTGCCCTCAGTATTGTCCTGTTATACTGTCCCTCCCTCCACTCCCTCTGCCCTCAGTAGTGTCCTGTTATACTGTCCCTCCCTCCACTCCCTCTGCCCTCAGTAGTGTCCTGTTATACTGTCCCTCCCCCCTCCACTCCCTCTGCCCTCAGTAGTGTCCTGTTATAACTGTCCCTCCCTCCACTTCCCTCTGCCCTCAGTAGTGTCCTGTTATACTGTCCCTCCCTCCACTGCCCTCTGCCCTCAGTAGTGTCCTGTTAGACTGTCCCTCCCTCCACTCCCCTCTGCCCTCAGTAGTGTCCTGTTATACTGTCCCTCCCTCCACTCCCTCTGCCCTCAGTAGTGGTCCTGTTATACTGTCCCTCCCCTCCACTCACTCCCTCTGCCCTCAGTAGTGTCCTGTTATACTGTCCCTCCCCCCTCCACTCCCTCTGCCCTCAGTAGTGTCCTGTTATACTGTCCTCCCTCCCTCCCTCCCTCTGCCCTCAGTAGTGTCCTGTTATACTGTCCCTCCCTCCACTCCTCTTGCCCTCAGTAGTGTCCTGTTATACTGTCCCTCCCTCCCTCCACTCCCTCTGCCCTCAGTAGTGTCCTGTTATACTGTCCCTCCCTCCACTCCCTCTGCCCTCAGTAGTGTCCTGTTACTGTCCTCCCTCCCTCCACTCCCTCTGCCCTCAGTAGTGTCCTGTTATACTTGTCCCTCCCTCCCCCCCTCTGCCCTCAGTAGTGTCCTGTTATACTGTCCCTCCCTCCCCCCCCTCTGCCCTCAGTAGTGTCCTGTTATACTGTCCCTCCCTCCACTCCCTCTGCCCTCAGTAGTGTCCTGTTATACTGTCCCTCCCTCCACTCCCTCTGTCCTCAGTAGTGTCCTGTTATACTGTCCCTCCCTCCACTCCCTCTGCCCTCAGTATGTCCTGTTT